GAGTGCCACCATGCCACACCAATGCGGGTGCCAGCACTCAGGGGGCACACATGGCATTCACGGTGCTGCTGTCACATGCCTCTGAGCAAGGCTCCCCACGGAGGTGCTGTGCCACCAGTACCACCCTGGGCACAGAGGTGGATGCTCTGGCAGACCAGCGACCCCTGTTCTCACTGACTGCCATCTAGGGCAAGAATCTGTTTCTCCCCCATTTTTCCCCTTCCCAGATGCAGGAGGCACATTGTGGGGTTTTGGGGGCATGCAGGCAGCCCCCCAACACCCATGGGAGACCCCTGTGGCTGTACCACCAGCTCCCACCTGCCTCCACTCCCATGAAACTCTCACAGCTATGGGGGCACAGCCCCCCATGCGTGCCCCATCCAGCGCCCCCAACCCTGCTGCACCCCCCTGGCCCTGCCACCCAGGATTCCTCCTTCCTCCCAGCCCCAACATTTTTGCTTGGGTGTTCTGCTGGGGGGCTGAGAGCTCCAGGGGCAGCCCCCTCACCCAGCCCCATGCCATTCCCTGCCAGGGCTCCCCGAGCAGCTGGGCTGGGGGCACTGGGGTGCTATGAGCCCCTCACTCCTTCTCCTCCAAACCCAGTTCTTGGTCCTAATCACACTCCGTGATGTTGAGTGTCCCCTACACCCACTGGGGTGTAGAGAGGGGACCAGGTGGGTGCTGGATCAATGCTCCTGCTGCCACCCCTCCCCACAGGACTCTGGTGACAACCCTCTGGGTCAGATTAAGGAGTTTCTTAGTGCTGGTGCTTTTTCTCTGCCAGAACATTTATTCCCTCTAACGAAGACACTCCCAATCTTCTTTAGTGCTAAGCCTCTCCTGGGAACTCATTTCCGGCACCCAAATAACTTCCCAGCACTTTCCCTCCAGCTGACCCTGGTCTGAGCCCCTGGCAGAGTTGCTGGGGCTGGTAGCACCCACACCCAGCAACCCCATGGCACAGCCTCTCCACATGGGCACACATCTGGGTCCCAAGGAGCACATCTGGCTACCTAGGGGCACATCTGGGCACCAAGGAGCACATCTGCTGAGGCAGGATGGCCCCCACCTCTCCAAGCTTGATGCTGTCCATGTGTCCCAGCTTGATAGCAGACTCAAAGCCCACCCACATCCACGAGTGTGACGGCAAGATGCAGTCCAGAGTGTGTCACCCGTGGGTGTGAGGCACACCCTATGTCCCCCCAGTCTCCTCAGCTGCCTTTGTCACAGTCACTATGGAGCTATTGAAGGCATGAGGGGGACAAAGGGCTCTTTTCATGCTGTTGCCTCCTTGCCTGGCCCTGCTGCGTGGCAGAGCTGCCCACGGGCACCAGGAGGCCACCCAGTGTCCCTTGCAGTGTCCCCCCAGGCAGTGCCTGGTGGGGTGAGAGTCATGGCAGGCTCTGCCCCTCCATGGCTGGCACAGGGGAGATTTTTGCTCCCTGAGGTGACGCCTCGTTGGTATAACTGTTCCATATCCCATGGCCAGAGGGTCCCTGTGTGCAGAGCAGCTCCGAAGGCCACCGAAGGGGATGCAGTGTCATCTCACCTCCGGCCCTGCCTGTTACTCAGCAGTTCCAGGACAAGCAGTGGCCCCAAGCCAGCCCTGCTGTGCTGTGCTGTGCTGGACGAGGAGACCACAATGGATGGCTGCCAGCCACAACCTGCACTCCACCACAGTGGGGGACCAGCTGCAGGGACCCCACATCCACACTGGGCATCCTGCTCCACCAGGACACACATCACAGGACACCAGTCACGGGACACCACCCAGCCAGTGACCAGTGTCCCCCATGCCTCCGTCTCAGTGGCACGTCCCAGTGGCATCCCACGGCTCTTTGTGCAGGCATCCAGGCATGGCCACGCATCCCTGGGCATGATCACACATCCCTGGGCACAGCCATAGCGTCCCCAGGGCTGCAACAAACGTGTCCCTGGCCATGGAGGAGGGTAGAGACACCCTGCTCAGACCTTGACACCCTGGACCTGTCCCTCCCTGCCTGGAGGGATCCCTGCTTGGGCTCCAGCCCAGTCACCGCATCCAGGCCACCGTGGTGACGGAGGGGCTGTGCCGGAGCGTGACGTGGTGGGTCAGGGTGCTGTGGATCCCTCCCCACCGCTGAGACTGTGGTCCCAGCCCCACAGCCGCCACGAGCCTTGTATTCCCGAGCATTCCTAAGCCAGCAGGGTGCCAGTTACACGCCTTCACCAGCCCCACTCCGGATGCTAGGGGATGCTAGGAAGGATTTGGGGTGGAGAGGAAGACCGCCAGGCCCTGCCCGTGGGCTCACAGCCCAGTCTGGCCCGGCAGAGCCCTGTGGGCTGGGTGGGAGCTGGAGACCACTCAGAACTGGGGGGCAAGAGTGCCGAGTCCCCAGCCCTGGGCGCACTCCCGAGGCCACCGGGGACGAATCTGCAGCATCACTCCCATCACTCCCCCTCCCTGCCACACGCTGCTTTGTTGTGCTGAGAGGGACAAGAGCTGAGCACAGCAAACTCGTGCCACCAGTGACCCACTCCCCTGTGGCCCTTCCCACCCACATGCCCAGCAGCTCCTACGTGGGGTCCCCATGCAGGTTTGTGTCTGGGGGCTACTCCAGCCCACCCCTGCACAGGAGTATGGAGCTACCTCTGGAGAACCTGCCCAGACACCTGGCTCAGGAATGCACCTTGCACCTTGCCTGGGCGCCCTGGTGGGCACCTCTCATGGGCACCCTGCTTGGGATCCAATCCTGCAGCCCACCAGGGGCTGGAAGTGCAGCAGGTCTTCCCCCAGGTTTGCTTGTGATGGCGCATGGGGACACGTACCTTGTACTTGATGGCCAACAGCTCCGTGGCCTCCTGCTCCTTCCTCAGGTCCTCTATCATCTTCTCCTTCTCCTGGAGCAGCTTCTGCTTCTCCTCGCTTACCAGGCTGTGGTCATCCCGAATAGCAGCCTTCTCCTCTTCCAGCCTCTCCTTCTGCTCCTTCAAGTAATTCTCCATGTTCTTCTCCAGGCCATCCTCATTGTCATCCTCTCCTTCATTCTCCACAGTGCCTTCTCCATCCGTCGCTTTCTTCCTCCGGCTGCTCCTTCTTCTCTTCTTCCCCAGCATCCCGCGTTTCTCCAGCTGGGCTTTCAGCCGGATGATCTCCTCCTGAAACTCCCGCAGCAAGGTGTCCTTGGGGTCCTCGTTCACCCGGGGCTTGTTCTTGATGTTCTTGGCCCTGTTGGCGAACCTGAGGGTGGAGAGGCTCTCATCATAGCTGTGGGAGGCTGGGCATGATTGTCTTGGCATTGCCCCCGAGGGAGTCCTGCAGGAGGCGGGTCAGCTTGGAGTCCCGGTAGGGGATGTGCGTGCTCCTGCCGTCCACGAGCGCGGAGATGACGTTGCCCAGGGCGGACAGGGAAAGGTTGATCTTGGAGGCTTCCTTGGGGCGCTCGCCATGGGCTCCCATTTTGTTCTGGCGCTCGCTGCCGGCCAGGTCCACCAGGTTGAGCTTGCCCACGCGGATGTGCTCCTCACCGTCCGGCCCCGTCTCGCTGCACTCGATGGTGATGAGGAAGATGGCGTGGGAGCGGGAGCTGTGCTCGTTCATGTTGGTGCTGCCCACGGAGCGCGTCTGGCTCCCCAGGTTCATCACGTGCTCGATCTCCTTGACGTTCTTGGTCACGAAGGAGGAGAGGTCCTTGATGTACACCCCCGTCTCGGGGTTCTCCTTCAGCTCCAGCTTCTTGCTCTGGTCCTTGGCGAGGAGGTCCCTGATCTCCTCCTGGT